AAATAAAAGCATCTGAAGATTTAGTAAATGAGAATGTGCGTGCGTGCATGCTTGTGTGCGTGCGTGCATGCTTGTGTGCGTGCGTGCGTGCGTGCGTGTGTGTGTGTGTGTGTGTGTGTGTGTGTGTGTGCAAAATCTCATCTTCCATAACTAAATCTCAAGTAGACAGACCATATGAAATTGAGTAAAGAAGGTAGCAGGGTCAGGTCATCATGTATATTTCATATTGGGTATCAAAATAAGATTCAAGGTGAACATATATAAAGATTGAATTGCTGCATCTGTTGGAGGAAGCCTGACAGCAGCTGATGGTGGGCAGAGTAGAAAGAGGTCTGAGTTGAAGAGAAGAAAGACCTATAGTGTTATCTGTCTATGTACTCTTCCTTCTACCCAGGCTAATGTTAGAGACTGTCAATAGGCACAAGGGCTGAGTAAATGTCTACTTTCCCAAGTATGAAGGGACCAAAACCAAAAACTGGTTGAATTTACTAATCTGATTATGGAGCTGGGCCAAAAAAAAATGCATACCTGTATTCTCAAATCTCAAGAGGCTGAGGAAAGAATAGATATGCTTGAGCCCAGCCTGTCTTGCATTTCAAAACCCCACCTCAATATCTGTAGAAACAAAACAAACAGAAGAAAACCTAAGTGTATGGAACTCATCAGACTAATGTTTATCATGTGAGAGATGTGTAGCCAAGCCATTCAAGTTTTGAATTCCTATGGCTCACCTTAGTTCAGATGCAAATACACAAGATGATAGCACCATTAGGACCCAGGGTAGGTGACCCTTTCTCTGCTATCTCACAGACCTGGGGAGGTTGATGCTGATACTTGCAGGTACTGTCACCTCTTCAGAAGAATCTGGCTAGAGTTACTTACTTCAATTTTTTTTGTACAAGATTTATCATTTGTGTTCTCAGAAAAACAAGGCATCCACAATGAATAAACAATAGATACGAAGATTTTAAGGGTTTTTCTAGTTTACAAATAAAGTTACTGTAAAACAGTAGCTTAAGAGAAGTGTAGAGGCTTAGGCACAGAGATGACAAATTAGACAAATTAACTGAAGTAGAGTCCTTTATATTTTGTATTATTTCAGAGACGTGTCTTAAGAGTGGTAACACACAGAAATGACATGACTTGTATTGGTATATGAAAAATGTCACCCTCGATTTTTTTTAAAGATGGTAATGGGAAAGATGTTACTTTATTTTTGTTTGGAAAGAAACTGACACTCTATATCATGAGTTGACTTTGTGTGAAAAAGGATATGAATGTGCTAGAAAAGCTTAAATCAGATTAAAAATATCACTAGGGATACATGGCTGAATGGGTATAAACATATCAACTATAGCGACTTTTCCTTTAATGATTTTTTTTCGCAGCACCTAAAACAGTGCAGAGCATATTAAATGTTCAAAGGAATGTTTATAATATGCGTGAGTGATGCCAAGACAGAAATGGTACTACTCCCTTCAGTTTGTGGGTATTTTATGGCATTGGCTTTTGTAGATTCTGGCCACTCTTTAAAATTCCAAGATAAACATAGACTGAACAAAAATAATTCTGTTTATTGGAAAAGTAAGAAACTGCCAAATTATGGTTGGAGAACAAAATGAATAGTCTGGAGAACTGGGTGTCCCTCCCCCCCTGTAATGGACCTATTCCTTGTATCTCAGTCCCTTAGAGAAAGTTCAGCTTCTCCTTTGGACCGCTTTTATTAGACTTTCCAAAATATGAACAAAGCTTTAGCATTTATTCTTCATTGACTTCACTTTCTAATAATATTCTCTCACGTGTTATAATTTCAAACTCTTCTTTTTCTACGTGAAGATCTGACCTGTGCATTGTGATTCTGACATAAGATGCTAACATGTGGAGTTACTATATGAGTTTATTAATTTCCTGTAGTTGTAACTATGCACTGTTGACAGTTCTTGGTCACAAATTTTGGCTCACAATCATTAACATTTTTCACTACTATTTATAGATTTCCAATGGCAAATTATATAGTATATAGTGTTTCTCAAATTTATTTTACCATGGACTTTCTTTCTGGAATTGTGTATAAATATTTTTAAATAATACAGTTTTAGATACATTAGAAAAGAGAAATAAAATATTGGATATATGTATGCTTCTTGAGTAGGGCCAATGTGGTGTTACCAATTAAGAAATGCTAAATCTAAGGAAGGAATTATCCAGAGCAGTAGGTTCAAAGTGTAAAATAACTGAAGATATTTTCATTATTGTTTATCCCTTCTTCACTCTTTAAGTACATAGGTTCTCATTTACGTTCATGTCCTTCATGTCCACAACAAACATAATACTGCATTTACATGATAAGGAGCTTTAGCAGGAGTTCTGGCCTACTACTAAATTTTAGGCACGATGAACATCTACTTGTAGAGGCTATCAGGACCAGAGAAGATTCCCGGAATACTTTCTTGAATCTTTTAAGTTTCCAGACAATCAACACTTCACTTACACATATGAAATAAGATACAGCTGACAATAATATCACTTCTGTATAGGTAAATGTCAGTTAACAAAAAAAAATACAACAGCACCAAAGACAAATGATTATCTTTTCTTTTATATTAAAGGAATTATAATATTCTTATTCAGAAAATGGAGAGCTAATTAATGTTTTAAATATTACTTCATTACAAAATTCAAATTTATAAGAAAAGTTAATGAATGACTCATTCTTACAACAAAGATGTGTTGTTTGCTTACTGTTCGCTCAGTAGTCAAGAAATTATACTAAGCCCTATGGCTATGAAAAACCCTTGTCTTAAGTGGTCATATGAAGTTACTATGAAATAAGATGAAGATTTACAGAGCATTAACAAGACAAGATGATGCTTAAATATGAATATGTTAGTGAAAGGGTAGTGTTTGAAATAGATATGAAAAAGTGGATAGATAGAGAGATATGGAAAAGTTAAATGTTCAATAGTGGGTACAACCTGTAAGTCATCCGAAGTGAGGGCTTAAGTGTTACCTGTACCTTACGGTACCCAGTGGTATTAACTAATGTTATTATTGCTATGACACTTTGCCAACAAACAGGTCCTGAGTCTTTGAGAATGATGGAAATCAAGCAAATAAATATTAATTTTGGACACTGTGATAAGCAAGGTGAAATAACTCTTTCCTGTTACCTTTACTACTTCAGTATTCAACATAGACTATAATATGTAAGATGTATTCATTACATATTGGACGCTTAGATATATGCACTGAGGTACAGATGGATGATGGATAGAAGAATGCATGCATACATGAAGAGATAATACACTTGGTAGGACTGAATGAAAAATCAGAAATCGCAGTATGGGGATTATAGGGGTCATTCTAAGGTTTTATACATTGAAATAGGTTATTCATCACTGTCAAACTTTGCTACCCATACAGTTAAATAGGTAATCTATAGGCAGTTCACATGGCATCTAACTCCAAGCACAGATCCACAGCAAACAAAGTAAAATGCCTCTGGCTTAAAATGGTGGTCCCAGCCAGGCAGTGGTGGCATATACTTGTAATCCCAGCTCTCGGGAGGCAGAGCCAGGTGGATCTCCATGAGTTCAAGGCCAACCTGATCTACAGAGCAAGGTCCAGAACAGCTGCAACAGATACTCCAGAAACAAACAAACAAAAAAAAGTGAAAATGGTTATTGGTTATCCTAATGTCTATTCATAACAAACACATTTTTTGATAGATTCTCATTTTAAATAGTCTGAATTTTAAAACTCAAAGTCTATAAAGGTGGAATTTTTAGAAGTAGAAGCCTCTCAAAGTTTTGTGAGTTTGGGAAGTATGTAAATTTCACAAAGATTAAAGGAAAGACAAAGGAGAAGGCTTGAGTCAGAAGAAAAAGAATGAACAGAGTGAAATCATCCTTGAGATAAAGGATCAGTGTGCACAGCAAGATTCAGCAATGTACCTGTTGGAAATAATCCAATGTCTTTAGGTCTCAGTGAGATTTTCATGCCATGTTAGAAGTTTATTTCTTCTTTCCTTTCTGTCGCTGTGACAAGCAGCGTGACCAAAACAACTTAAGGGAGTAAAGGGTTTATTTTACAACTCTCAGGTCACAATCCTTCACTGGGGAAAGTCAAGGCAGGAACTCAAGGTAGAAACCATGGCGGAGGGTTGCTTGTTGGGTCACTTTCTGGCTCACTCATAGGCTTATTCTTATTGAATTTCATATACAGAACCTGCCCATGGGACCCTTCTAACATCATTTGAGACAATCAAGACAATCCCTCAAGATATGTTCATAGACAAACCTATAAAAAACAATTACATATTAATCCCTTTTCTTTTGTAGGCAAGTCTAGGCTATGTCAATTTGACAGTGCTAACCAGGACATGAAAATTGATGAGATGATGAATGATATATAAATTGCTTGAAGTTTTTGCATTTGTAAGAATTCAACCATTGTAACACTGTTTGATGCAATGTGATACTTATTTTTATAAAACAATGTTGCTCATTTCATAACACCAGTAATACTGGAACAGGGGAGGAGATAAATGTCGGAAGAAAAGTATAAAAGCATTTGGTGGTTAATTAACTTGTATAATATATGCTTGCACTACAGCTCTAAATAACAGTGTGTGTTGTGGTGTGATCTACCTTATTTATTATAAATGAAATGAATCAATCTAAGGTTATAGAACTTGAGCACAAATTTAGTCAAAGTATTTAGCAAAAATTTAGACTAACATTAAGTTCAATGTAATGCTATACTTTTGAAATATATTTGATAAGTACATATGAGCAACATATTATGCAAATCATGCATGTCATGGTTAAGTATTTATTGGAACCACAGATCAAGATACTTAAATGATAGCAGTATTCCTTGACCAGCCAACTATATGAGTTTTCTCATTTTTTAATCATTTAAATTTTATGTCTTTTATGTTGTTCCTACTTGAGATTTTTTTTCAAATACATCTTCAAATATTTTTATTTCCCTTCTAGGAATTTGCTGCATTGACTAAAGAACTGAATGCTTGCCGGGAGCAACTTCTAGAGAAGGAAGAAGAGATCTCAGAGCTTAAAGCCGAAAGAAACAACACAAGAGTAAGTATCAAGCTGCTTTTTGAGTGTCTATAAATAGTCTACTGTCATGTATCTGTACACACATCTAAAAACTTGCAAAAACTTTAGGAGTACTTTGAGCAGATTCCAATTCACAGTCAGTTGCTTTGAAAAGAAGGAAATGTGGTATAATACCCAAAATAAAAAGAAAGGAAACCAAAATTATAGTCTCTGCTAAATCACTATGTTGCCCAGCAAAATGTCCCCATTTCTTCTGGCCTTTATTTCATTGTCTTTTAAAAAGAGTGTAAGTGATGGGCTGGTACATTGCAGTGGCCTGCATTTTATCCACATTTCATTCTAGCAAAGAACTTATCTAAAAATAAAGGAAAAGAAATTGAAGTTGAAAAGCTATGGATCAACCTCTACCAATTAAAAGAGGCTTACCACATTTATTTCATTAGATTTCCTAGAGGCTGATAGTTCTAATAGGCATTCTATTGTATGATAAAACACATACTTTCTACATTCTGCTCTTGGAAATTCCTGTACATTGTCAGTCAGATGATGAACCATGTAAGAATAAAGTTCAGAATTAGATCAAAGAAGATGTATTTTTTGAAAACCAAGATAAAAATGTTACTAAATTTCATAGAATAAATACTAATTATATTACTTACAAATTAATGTAATCTCGTAGCTAAATTAAAGGAGAAACTACTTTCATAAATGCAACTTTACTATTAAGAAGGTGAAATTATATTAGGTGCCATAGTCTTCCTGGGTTAATCCTCTGCAGATAAAATGTGATTAGTAGCCAACTTATTTTGTGCCTTGGCCTTTCAGTGTTATGCAAATGCAGCTCCATAGTCATTGCCTGTACCTCCTGTGAGAGTTAGACTTGTTAGACTTGCGTGCATGAGGGTTATACCATCAAACTCATTTCTGTCTTTATTCATCAGGTTCTGATTGTATGATGAAAAGAATTCACAGGTGTGCATTGTGCATGTGAATTGGTTTTCATCAAGATTTTGATGAGCCGGTCACATAGATTGCCTCTAATAGGGCATTGCAAGGGCAGGCAGTTCAGATCATGTGCTGGAAAATTCTGCATTCTTTCCCTGTCTATCTTTTTTTTTTTTCACTCTTGATTTTTCTAATAGTGCTGCATTTCCATGCAAATTTACCTATTGCTGCCGTAGTCGTATTTGTCCTGTCCTGTCCTGTTATTTCAATGGGTTAGTTAACATTCTCTGATGTAACGGAGCACTAACAAATGTGAAAGTAGTAGAGGAAACGTGAGAATTAAGGCAAAGGTATCCTTGGTTTCACTTTCGGAGATCCCTCACATTAGAAATGCATCAGATCATTTTGTTACCTACATAGGTGCATCTATCTATGCCTTTTCATTCTACATTCATTTATTCCATTTTACAATCATGGGAAGAATATACTTTGTCCCCACTGTAAAGATAAAGCAAGTCAAATGTATCAAAGGTCACAGAGTAAAATACCACAGGGTTCGAAAGGTAATACACTGTATGCAGGGCCTGTGCCGCTGGCACAGATCCATAAGGCCACTAGGAGAGATATCCACATTTTACCCACACAGACTTGCAAAAAATCTGTGATGGCTCAGATGAAACATTTGCCCAAGAGTCAACACCCTGCTGTGTGGCATATGTCATTTGTTTTAATTGTGACTGATTTTAGGATTGGGATTTGTTTCAATGGCCACATGATTTTCAACATATTAAACCCCCTGAGTGCACGAGCATATTTGGCATTTGGCTATTTACCTGCAAAGGATCACAAGGGTGTGAGGTGCTATCCTGGAACACCTTCTAAGATCAGAGAGAGAAGGGGGAAAAAGCTTTCTTTCTGACTACAACAGAAAATGAAGCCGTTGATTAGAAGCAAGATTAATAGCTACTAACACTTAGCAAATGTGATCAAAAGTTTTTTTTCTATTTTCCTTAAAAAGTTAGCATGCTGAGATTTTGTTGTGCATGAGATTAAAGCAAACAGATTTCTGAATCCTATGAAATATAAAATCTTGGTAATATAATGACTTTTTTAGGTTACATAAACACTACAGACCTCCTTGATTTCATCAAAAACAAAAATAAAATTACAGGTCTAAGATTCAAACATATCTTCCTCTTCCCATCAAAGGCCATATCAAATATACATTGATATAGTTACCCATGACAGTATTTCAAATAGATTTATATAATAGTATTTTACTATATGCTGTGTTATAGTCTCACTATGGACTACATAGTAGCTACACGTTGCTATTGGAAAGAGCAGCAAGACAACACAAACTTCCTTCTCACAACTAGAGAGTACTGATTGTGAAAAGTTGTGTGTTTAACTAGAAAAGAGTGTTCTGATATCTAGGGTTCTGATAAACCTTCAGACCTTTCCATGTTAATAAGTTAACATTTACTTATGAATTGAAAAAAATAACACAAAAAGTCAATCCACAATGTGAACTGTTAGATAGGTTGGTGATCTTGGACTATGACCCAAACCAACAAATCAGAAAGTAATCTGCATCCTGATAGTACAGTGAATTATATCATTTACCACAGTTTCTGTGATGATAGATTTATTACACAAGCTTGTAATAATGCAAACATAGTACTTAACATTAATTAAGGGCTGATGGTTTTTCTAAATGTTTACATGTTTACCACACCATAGTCGCATAGCAATTTCACCATCTCTAAAAGCCACATACCCCTGAGTGAAGTAATATGTACACAATCTGCTTCTTGAGTAATCATGGGTTCTATGTTTCAGAAATTTTCATATTTTTATGTGACTCCAAATAATAGTTGATGACAAATAGGGTTTGTTTCAAATGTTGTAATTCAATTCTAATGAATTTTATTGATTGTACAGCAAATAGTGTTTTTATTCAGTCAGAACTGAAATCTTTAGACATGAATAATTTTTGTCACATAAGAAATGCTGAGTCCTCAGTCTTTTATTAAGTTAATAAAAGACTTCAAAGTTCAACTTGTTCTTAAAGCCATCTGCTCAGTAAGTAATTAAATGGAGGTATACAAGTAAACTAATAGTATACATGATTATGTAATGTTAAAAATTACAAAATTTATAGTGGATATTTATAGAAACATACAAACAAGCTTTGTTACTTAATATTTCTATGCCAATAAGAATATAGAAAAGCCGGGCGTTGGTGGCGCATGCCTTTAATCCCAGCACTTGGGAGGCAGAGCCAGGCGGATCTCTGTGAGTTCGAGGCCAGCCTGGGCTACCAAGTGAGCTCCAGGAAAGGCACAAAGCTTCACAGAGAAACCCTGTCTCGAAAAACCAAAAAAAAAAAAAAATATAGAAAAATTAGACAACAACATTTTTATTCATAAAATTCCTCTGAAAATAAAAAGACATGTTTATGTGTATATGTTGTGTGACACTGTTAATTGGGAAACCTGAACAAAGAGCTACTTACTCCAGATAGGGATTTGACAATAGACCAAATCAAGAGTAACACCAAAGACCAACTTGGGGAAACAATGAATTTTTTGAGGCTATTACAGAAAGAGGTAAAGAGTTACTGGAGTAGAAATAGCTCAAAGACAATTGCATCACCAAAAGCTCACCCCAACATGGGTGACATTTCACAAAAGCTGGAAACCTGGAACGTATTACACAACTTATAGGCAGATCAACAGATTGGAGAATGTCTTTTCCAGGCAGCTATGTTGAGCTTGGGGCAGATTGGCTGGTCTCAATTTCTTTGGGATATCTGTGTTGGTTAATCCTCTCCTTTGAGAGTTTCTTCTAGGTATCTCCACTTCTCTGAGCATGTCTCTTATATACACGTGGAGGTGGAGGGGTGGCCTAGTGTTAAGTTTCAGGGATTTCCTAAAACTTTTGAGTTTTTTTTTTTTTTTTCTTCCTGGGCTTAATGGAGTTCTCTGCAAAGTGGAATGTTTCATCTCCCTCTAGAACATTCTGTGTCATAAGTAGCTTTCTTGGTTCCCCTTTGTGATAGACGATAACCTTTAAGCCAAGTGAACCTATTCTTTCCACAAGTTTCTTTTTGCCAGTATTTTATGATATCAGCAGAAAGCACAGTAGGACCATAAGCCATGCATTCTCCAAACAATTGTTTCAATATGAATAGTCAGGAACACATATTGGGAAATTGGAGTATGTTAAATAATTCTTAAAGTGGAGTTTTTGAGTGCCTTGAGGATGAAAATAGCCAAATTAAACTATTTTTATTAAAATCTTTAATTAAAATATGTTTATGTCACTTCCTCCTTCCTTGTATTCCCTCCAATTCCTCTCATATCCTCTGCTTCCAACCCTTGCCAGGTGCTTGAGAGTTGATGACCTTTGATTATTATTGTTTTTTTAATCTACTGAATCTGTTTGGTGTAACTTGTATGTATATGATCTCTGGACTGATCATTTTGTATTGGAAAGCTAATCAGAGAGCCCCTCCCTTTGAGAGGTTAATTCTTTCTCTTTTAGCACCCTATAGTTGCCTGAAGTTCTTCTTCTCAGGATGTGACTCCAAAAGACTCCCCATTTCCATGCTAGTATGCCTATTCATATTATCACTATGAAGATTTTGTTTAGGCAGCCATAATATTGAGGTATCAAGGGCATAGACCCTCTGTCATTTCTAGGAGACACAACTCCATATCACACTTCCTGGTCCTTTGGCTCTTAAGGTCTTCCTGCCTCTCTCATGATGTTTCTTTTTTTTCTGCCATACTTTTTTTTATTAAGAAAATTTTTTCATTCATTTTACATACCAATCGAAGATCCCCCTCTTCCCTTCTCCTGACCCCCCAGGGTCCCCCTCCCAACCCACCCCTCTCTCCTCCCTATAAGAAGGCAAGGCCTCCCATGCGGGGGTACATCCAGTAGAGGCAAGTCCAAGCACTTTCCCCTGCCTCAAGGCTGCACGAGATATCCCATCATAGGTAGTAGGCTCCAAAAAGCCCACTCATGCACTAGGGATAGATTCTGATCCTATCCCCAAGGGCCCCCCA